ATTTTTATATATAGCGCCCAAATATTGGGCGCTATACATTAACGTTGTGCCGTTAATATATAGCGCCGAGTATTTGGGCGCTATATATAAAAAGCTGCCACACCCAGGTATAGCGCCCTAATACCCGGCGCTATACCCCTTTTTTAAAAAACGAGTCGTCTTCTTCAAGACGACCATTCTGCTTCTTCTTCCTCAATATTTTATATCCGGTTCTTCTTCTCGAAACTAGTATGTTGAATTTATCCGGATTTAATATTAGTGTTTTATAAAAAAAAATATAAATTTGTCTGTTAATATCCTGATTTATATACACACATAACGTAATATTTGATCACGCTATGCTTTGCGTGTTAAAGGTTTCGACAGGTACGAAACAACTTTATGTCAGTTGGATAAGACAACACTTATATATAAAAAAAATAACCATAATTAAAATTAAATTAATTAGCCTTATGATATTTCAATATTTTTTCCAGTTCTTCCGAACATATAATTTTTTAAAATATCATTAAAAAAATTAAAATGGAAAAGTTCAACTCATAATTAACAAACATAATTTTATTTTATAAAACTTGCAACATAAACAAAGCAACGTCCTATTACAACATAAACTCAGTGATAGTTAGGCATAATAGAAGAAGGACCACCAAGAGCTTGAGTACTATTGCCACCCGAACCAGCCGAAGGACATTTTCGACGGTCGTGTCCTGTTTGCGAGCGTATACCACATCTGCGCGCATAAACGGTATCACTAACATCGATTTGGTTCCGTATACGAGTTCTCTTCTTCACTTGTATTCGGCGTAGATAGGACTTGTTACACACCATTTTAAATGGTTTAGGCGGCTAATAATGCTCAGCACCCACTGGCTGCAATTGCCCACTATATGTGTTTAGGTACTTCGAAACACTATATTGTTGATCAACATAGTTGGTTGCACCTAAAACAACTTGTTGAAAGCACTTGATGGCATGTGAGCAAGGCATGTGGTAGATGGACCATTTTCCACAAGAGCATAACCTTGTAGATTCATTTACAGTATGCACATTATTATCCTGATTTTGATGGATAGCGGTACGAACTTCAAAAATATTTCTTTCGTTATCGTTCTGCAAAAATGAATGCCAATGTGCTCGCCGTCTGTATTTATCAAATCTCTTCATCGGCACTGGCATAAATTCAACACCCCTTTCCATTAATGACGTTGCAGCTGCAGACCTTTCAACAAACCTCTCCGCCATCTGCTTGAACGACATCCGCACCATGGCTGTGACAGGCAATCCTCTTGCCGACTTCAATAACCCGTTGAAAGACTCTGACATATTTGTAGTCAGAGTTCCCCATCGTCTGCCACCATCCGCATGCAAAGTCCACTTTTCAGGGTCATGTCGCATTAACCAACGATAGGCTGCCTCGTCTTCTTGCCTGATATATTCCATGTGCCTCCGAAATTTATGTTGTTGGTGGTCTGTTGCTGCCATCCACATCAAATCATGCAGATCCTTGTTGGGATATGCCTTCTGGAAATTGGCTTTTAGGTGCCTAACACAGTAACGATAGTAGGCATAAGGTTCTTGCCATACAGGCAAGTTCTCCACAGAACTTAAGATACCACCGTGCGGATCAGATATTAGACAGATACCGGAACGCTGTTTGACAGCGTGCTCTTTCAAGTGGTTCAAAAACAGTGTCCACGTCTCTTGGCTTTCATTGGCACAAATAGCAAAAGCTAGAGGAAATATCTGTCCATTAGCATCTACTGTCACGGCTATCAACAGCTTGATATCGTACTTTCCATAGACATGAGTGCCGTCTATGGATATTACGGGCCGACAGTGCGAAAAACCATCAATTGCTGGTTTAAACGCCCAGAACACGTAATTGAATATATATTCTGGTTTACCCTGACTCCGCTCAAGCTTCCATTCAACAACCGTCCCGGGGTTAAACTGCTGAAGTGCAGCCATGTACCTAGGCAGATCTGCAAATGACTTATCCCAGTTACCATAGAGTATTTCAAACGCTCGTTTGCGCCCGAGATATGCCTTTCTTTTAATAATGGTATGGCCATCTTCCCGGTGGACTGCTGTAATGCAATCTTTGATTTTATACCTTATGGACGCTTCGATGTGTGGAATAAGAACAAGAGAAATCAAGTCAATATCCAAGTTGAAGTGATTCCCGTTGAATGTGTCCATTTCGCATGTGTGGGTGGGAATGTATTTACCAACTTTCCACAGACCTGACTTCTTCTTTCTCGCACGCAACATCCAATTACATGGCCAAAACCACCTACGGCAAACAGCCTTGTATACCATCGGACTTGACTCCCATACCTGCATCTCACGACACTCTTTTACGTTGTGCATTTTACAAGCCCTGCTTACGCGCGCTTTATCAGGAAAAAGCATCCCCTTTGCAAGCACCGTTGCTCATCCCACATTGCTGTCCGAATTTCATCAAAATCCCTTGTGAGAGCTTCCACATCCGGCACGGTTGGCAAGTTATCAATGTAAGGAATCTCCCTTGAATGAAACGATACTTCGGACTCGTACACTCTTCGTCTAGGGGGGTCTCTCTTCAAATCATGTCCTTCCTCCTCATCCTGCGCATCACCATCCTCACGAGGAAAGGGTGTCTCGTGTCTGGATTCATCGGCATTGTTATCGTAATCACTGTTCTGTTCCTCACTCTGTGCATCTGCCAGATCCCGATGTAATACGTCATTTTCGGGCAATTGAGTGAGTACGGGTGGTTCAACTTGCTCGTTTTTACCGCACAACCAACAAAAATATAAGCTACTGAATTAATAAATGCTTTCCATATGGCTATATCACTTCACTTACAAGTCGTAATGTGATGAAATTCCATGATGAACATTTTCAATTAGGTGATGACTACTGGATGGGCCACTTGTAAAATTTATATCCGGCCGGTACCCCCTGTTAAATATATGAGCGTTAATACAAACTCAATACACCAAAAATATACATAATTAACACAAATGAAAATTGAAGTTTACCACTCGTCTTGTGAATTATGGAAAGCAGGGTATAAATTATTTTCTCGCTGCTCATTCGCCGGCGATGATAAGTTTAAATCAAGGAAAACTCTTTCTCCGGAACCTGTCCGGCAAAACTGCTCCAGAATAACCACCCGATGACTGGGGGTTATCTCTACTACGCACAATCTTGTTTTTTGGAACGTCTTCGACCTTCACGTACATCTACAACATTGTGATTACAAGAAATTCCCGGCATTCATCCGGAGTCCTCAGAAAATCACTCAAAGTTTCATCATCGTCGATGTTAAACTCCGAGTAAAAAGCAACCCCTTGCGGAGTGACGGAATACGGATATCTTCCGGTTACTTTAAGTATCAATGAACGTTTCCTCACACTCATTTTTTTGCATAACAACGATATCAATTTATCGTACTCCATTGTAAGTGGCAATTTAACATGACACTAAGCAGGTAAACTGTAGCCCACGGAGTTATTCTCCATCATAACCTCACCCCCCCAATATAATGGAACTCTTATTCTACGCTCTTCAGACATAATGAAAAAATGCTAGAGAATTTAACAACAATAAATGTTTCAAAAAGAGTTAAAAATTTTTTTGAATGAATTTCTATACAATCCTAACCTCTGTATATAGGAAATGGCTAGCCGGGAAATTATTTTTTTTTATATATAGCGCCCAAAAAGTGGGCACTATACGCTTTTGAATTATTGAAGTCAGGAATTATTGGTGGGGCCAGGAAAAAGGTGTATAGCGCCCAAATACTGGACGCTATACATAAAGTTTTATGTATATCGCCGGGTATTTGGGCGCTATACCTGGGCGCGCAGCTTTTTATATATAGCGCCCAAATACTCGGCGCTATACATTAACGGCACAGTTAACGTTAATGTATAGCGCCCAGTATTTGGGCGCTATATATAAAAATGTCATCTTTTTTTTACACCTATTAAGGTGCTACTTGTCCAAAAGAACCACATTTTGGTTCCGGACTCTCTATATTCCATAGAGTCTGTTTTAGACGGAAGGAACATGGAGAGAGGAAGGAAGACGTAGGGTCGAATTATAAGAGTCGTGCTTGAGATAGGAAAAAGAAAAGTTGATCAGTTCGTGCAGGGTTGGAAAACTATACCGCGGTGGAAGTTGGGTTAAGTGGTTACATAAAATAATTGGTTTGCTCTTTTTCATGCACCTGATACAATTTTCTTATGAATTGAGTTAGTAAAAGTTTTATATGTTTCCAGCTGAATTTGCCAACTAAAAACTCATCGTAAGACACATAATGATCAACTTTATAAAGATTTCTCTATCTTGAAAGCTTGATTGATCCGTGTACAACCTCACTTTTGAGCGCGCTATAGTGAAACTCAAGGGAAGAGCTTATTTACTATCAAGGAGTGTGATATGACAACTGAGATCTTTTATCTTTAATTAGAGGTTTTAGATTTGAAACCTTGAGAATAACAAATTTCTTGACAGGCTTGAAAACCTTACGCTGTATTTTAGGATTTGACAATTTTTAACAATTTTGGTAGAATTTTGCTCATTGTTTTTGTATCAGAGGGCACATGACCCCAAGCTTCATCATCTGCTTCGGGAAGACCAGCTTGACCTTAATGTTTCCATATCTACTGGCAGTTGTCATTTTTATTAGAGAACAAAATAAGAGAAACTTATAAAGAATTGATACCTTTCTTAGTTTTTGACGGCACGATATTCATCAAGTAGCTGAAAACAGAGTGCGTAAGATCCCAAAAAAAAAAAAAATCTCTAATACCGAAAATTGTGTGGCTATTATAAGGGGCTTGATGTCACTTGATTGATATATTATTTCCATTTTTATCGGATGTCCCCGAAGGGACGATAAATTATTTCCATTAAAGAAATTCTAGAGTTCCTAATGCATTACTAATAACAAGGTCAATTAAGTGTATCACAAGTTTCGATGAAAATCTTTAGACAATTTCAGAGGGTAATATTCTGGACACACAAGATTATATTCAACAATTTTGAAGACATGCGTTATCTTCAAATTAACATCATTTACAAATACCACTTGAAGATATATGTGAACATTTACATAGAATACAGTTGAACAAAAGATGATACATGGAATGTTTATTCAGTGGGCAGGAGCAGGAGCAGGAGCCTTTAGAGCAACATGAGCGGAAATGAGAGAGATTAGTGTGAAGAGAGTAGCTAATAGAGAAAGGCCCGCAGACACAAAAATCTTGTTGAAGAAACTAGTGGGCTCTAAGTCGGCAGCTCGGCTCAATTCCAGGGTAAAACCATAAGTTGCAGCAGCGCCTGAAACTAGTACATTTGCTATGATCTGCTTCAAATTAACAGATATATTTGAAACAAGTCAAAGAAGAAGCGTATGAAACATTTTGAAGAGCTTTGGGACTGGATGCTAAAACTGGGTACCACATATACACACAGTGACAGAGGTTCATACCATGTCACCAAATAGATCTAACAAACTGACTCCAATGCTTAGCGACAGTACTGTTTGAAAGAGATTATACGCAATTCCCACGCCAATGCAACCCAGCATGTAACTGCAATTAATTGCCATATCCAACATATTAAAAGAATTTAATAAAGTAACCGAAAAAATAATGCAATTACAACACATAAGTAAGGTAGAAAAGAATGGACTATATTTCAACTAATTACAATCACCTTATCTCTGCATTATAATATGTAGACGGTCAAAATGGGCCTTCCCTGATTTTGTATGGCTAATCGAAACCAGGGTGGCAGACTAAAGCTTGGCCTCGCATTGTATCGAACCATGGCACGAAGATGGGTTGCTAAGCTCATTAATCAGTAATCGATCAAGAACGAGATCAGCCGTAATCAAAACCGAAATGGGATAGAGATCGAGCGGGATCGAAGGAGGCCTGCTAAAGTCGAATAACAGAAAGCCGAGATATCCGTGATCGGCCAAGGATCGTGGCGAAAATCTCGGCACGTATCAAGTCAAGACCGGACATTTAGCCAATCATGGGATTTCCTTCTGTATTTAGAATTGTACCATAAGTAGAATTCCTCTACTATATAAAGGGGGTTCTAATCATTTTGTAATGATATATTTACGCATAACAAAGCAATACGTTACATTTTATCTCTTAAGCTCTGTTGTTCAGTTCATACTTTTCAATACTATACTCAGTTGGTTCGAGGGCAATCTAGCTCGAGGGCCATAACCGCTCATTGTATTGGTTTGCTTTATTTTGCAGTTAATTTCTAACATTAATTCTCATATTTCTCAAGTTGTGCCAAGTGACAGATATCCTTAAAACCACTTATAAATTTAATTGTTATCCAATTTTAAGAGTAAACATAATCCTTGAAACATTAATCTCTGCATTATATTGCTAATCTCTACATAACTTGTCTATAAACCAGTTACTAAACGATCCTAAACTTGTCCAAATTAGCATCAAAACGGTCAGTATTAGATTCTGATCGTTCTGCTTTGATATTGTGCTTCTACAAATTAATATATATTCTTCCTTTATATAAGCATAACAACAAGAATTACCGAGGGGGGTGTAAGAGAAATAAACTTACATATAAACACGAAAATCAGTGAACTTTGTTTGAAGTTGCTCGTCAGTGTAGAAAAGGCTTTCATTGTCGGAGTACTGGGAGCTCATAAGAAGAATGACGAGTGCTCCCACAAGGCATACAAAGGCAATAAGTCTGACTACCAATATTACTGCTTTTCCCATCTTCTTCAAACCTTCTCTATTCCCTCTAGCCTGATTATTACCAAGTATTCTTCTTTATCCCTCTTTATTTATAAGATTTTAGGAACATTAAATTTGTCAACTCTTTGACTTGAGAGTTTTGATGAGGCATGTTATATATCCTAGTACTCGTCACGTTCAATGATTCCACATATTTTGTGAATGAAAACAAAGGTTGGTATTAGATTTTAGAAAAAATTTCCCAAGATTTTTGAATTTTATACTAGCACAAATTTTGTATAGGTTACACGTGTACAATGGTTTTAGGTATAATGCTAATCATAACTCATAAGGTTGAGTGCTTGACAATAATTATGTGCCAGCACAAATTGTAAATGGACGGACTATGTTAGAAACGCTCGTAAGAATGTAATGACCTGACCGGTCGTTTTGAGTATTTTAGCACCGACTTCCCTATTTGATGCTTTGCATATTTATCTATTCTATCTATCTATACTATATTGAAAGTACGAAGGCCCTTAGCGAAATGTTGTTTGCCTTTTTTACCCTCTTAAGCTAGAGTTCACACTAGACAAAATAGTTATTTGATTATTTTTCTAATATTTAGTAATAGTAATCTAATTAATTTCCTAATATTTATGACTTTGATATCAACTAAAAGTTCAATTATTAAATAGCCGTTTTGAGTATTTTAGCCCCGACTCCCCTATTTGATGCTTTCCATATGTGTACTTGTGGTTACGCGACTTGCCCAGGTGATTAGTTTGGTTTCAAGTGAATTTTGGATTTATTGGGGACATATAGTCCCTTGGTTGAAGGTCGTAGTTGTAAGAGTTGACCGGAGTTTGACTTTTGTGTGGACGACTCTGGAATGGTGTTTTGATGGCTCTAATAGTTTCGTATGATAATTTTGGACTTAGACGTATGTCCGGAGGTGAATTTGGAGGTCCGTAGCTTTGTTTTGGCTTGAATTGGTGAAAGTTGAAAAGTAGAAGGTTTGGAAGGTTGATAGATTTGACCGAGGGTTCACTTTGTTGATATCAGGCTCGGATTGCGATTTTGGGAGTTGGTATAAGTTCGTTGTGTCATTTGAGACTTGCATGCAAAATTAGGTCATTCGGAGTTGTTTAAGCTTGTTCGGCGCAAGATTTGAATTTGAAAATGTTCATTAGTTCATTAGGCTTGAATTAGGGTGCGATTCGTTGTTTTGATGTTGTTTGGTGTGATTTAAGGCCTTGAGTAGGTTCGTGTTGTATTTTGGGATTTGGTTGGTATGTTTGGACGGGGTCCCGAGGGGCCCAGATGTGTTTCGGGTTGAGTTCGGATTAATTGGAGGCTTTGAGGAATGGTTGAAATCTGCTGAGGTTTGGTGCTTTCGCACCTGCAATGTTTGGGCCGCAGAAGCGGCTAGTTGAATGCATAGGCGACATTTGGCTAAGGGAATTGGGTCCGCAAGTGCGTACAAGGACGCTCAGATGCGGAACCGTAGTAGCGGATTTGAGTTAAGGGAGCAGGGACTGTAGGTGCGGTGGTTTGTCCGCAGAAGCGGAAGCGCAGGTGCGCACTTGGGTAACGAAATCTATGATCTTAAGTGGAGACCGCATAAGCGAAATGCCTAGGTAGATTATAAGCTTGGATGAGGGTTTTACTTCATTTATCACACTTTGAGTTAGAGAGCTCGATTTTGGACGATTTTGGAGGAGAATTTCACGAGTTGGGTTGGGTAAGTATTTTTAACTCGGATTTGTCCATTATCCATGATTCCATCTTTGTTTTTATCATTTAGTTGGTGATTTAAATTGGAGAAACTAGGGATTTTTGTAAAAATATTTCTAAATATAAAGATGATGATTTGAAAGTTAATTTAAGGTCGAAATTGGATGATTTTGGTATAGTTGGACTTGTATCGGAATGGGGTATTCAGAAATTATCAGTTTAATCGGGTTTTGAGGTGCGGGGCTTGGGGTTGACTTTTTGAGTTGACTTTTTAATTTTCATTAAAGATCGAATCTTTATTATCCGAAATTGCTTCCTATGACTTTTATTTATGATATTAAATTATTTTGACTAGATTCGAGCCATTCAGAGTTGGATTTGCGTGGGAAGGACTTATTAGTGGATTGATTTAGCTTGTTTGAGGTAAGTATCTTGCCTAACTTTGTGTGGGGGAACTACTCCTAGGTTTTGGATTGTTTGTACTATTTGAACGACGTGGAAGGCATGTACATGAGGTGACAAGTGTGTACACAGACTTATATGTGAAAATTGACTGGTTTAGACTCTTAGGTTACATATAAGCATTTCACTGTAGTTGTTATTCATTATTCTATCTTTTTTTATCAAGTTTATTCTTACATGCTTTAATTGAAGTTGTTATTACGTGTTCTAGTTTCCATTGACGAGATCACTCTTACACGCATTTAGTAGTAGTAGTTGTTACATGCTATTCTTTCCATTTTTGAGTTATTCTCATGCGTTTAGTCATAGTTGCTATTTCATGCTATCTCTTTATTGTTAAGCTTATGCTATGCATTAGAATTTGAAGTTTCCATTCCATGAAAATGCCTTCATTGTTGAGTTATTGAAGTTGTTATTATTGAGAGCTATTAACGTGTTCCTGGTTGAAATTATTGGTTATTGGAATACCTTTCCTTGTTGAGTTATTTCTCGTTCATTTATTATTATTGAGATTCTTGTACACATTGTAATTGAGCCGTGGGCTATATGTTGTGGTGACATTGGTATTATTGATTTGGCAATGTTGTGGCATATGGACACGTGTGGTGTGAGTAGATTATTGTGTTGTGATATTGATGCGCATGCAGCGGTATAAGAGTAGGTATTAATGCGCATGCGGCGAGATAAGGTGGGATTTATATGCGTGTTACTAGTAAGGGATTATTTGAAGCCACGCGGTGAGATAACGCGGCTAAAGCTCGTGTAGCTATTTTGAAAAAAATATATTTTTTAAAAAAATAAAAGGCTCACGCGGTGATATAAGAAAGATTGTGATGGTGAATTGTGAAATACGAATATGAGGTGTGATACCTCGGTTGTGATTCTTGTTGTACATTCTATGTTAAAAAGGCTTGTTGATTTGAACCATTATTGTTTTTTCTTCATTCGTTTTACTTGTATTTTTACTTTATTTGATCTCTTATTGTGCTTATCATATCTTCACTATTTGTTGTCCTTTATTGCATTAATTTCCGTTGTGAGCCTTATATCATCGTACTGTTTTGTTGTCCTTTACTTCTTTCTGTTAAGGTTTTATGTCTAGTAGGTGTCAGAACCTGGCCTCATCACTACTCTACTGAGGTTAGGTTTGATACTTATTAGGTAGCGTTGTTGTGTACTCATGCTATGCTTCTGCATATTTTTGTGCAGATTCAGGTACTTCTGCCCGTACTGAACACCAGTGAGTTGATCTAGATATTTTGGATACTTCAAGGTATACCTGCTTGACGCTCGTATTCCTTGGAGTCACCTTCTTCTATTGCCTTTACTATTGTTTATCTTGATATCAAACAGTGTTGTATTTAGAGATGACTAGTGTATTCTCTTTGGAGCTTATGACTCAGTTCCACCGATTTTGGGGATTACTTGACTGTTGTTCCGTTTAGGCTTATTATGACATTTTAGCAGTTTAATTTATTATCTTACTTGTTATTTCTGCTAAATTCTTAATATGTGTTAGGCTTATCTAGTTTTAGAGATTATGTACCGTTACGATATCCAGAGGTTAGAATTTGGGATCGTGACAAAGATGTAAAAGATCACAAGTGAAAAATGAGACTCTTTTAATATTTGTGTTATTTTTTTCTTTTTCTTTTGTGTAACTAGATAGCATACATCCAACATATGTGATATTTGTTGGTTATTGATGGTGAATGAAGACACGAACTTATTTAAAAGGTTTATTTATGATTGCGTGTCCATATAACTTTGAAGTCAAGTCTATTTTAGGTTGCTTTAGAAAAACATGCAATCTTCTGAAGGGAAAAAAATGCATAAATCGATAGATTGACTTGTGACTACTGACTAAAGGTTGGAATAATGGATTCTGTAAAATAAAAAAAATAAAAAAAAATTGTATGCAAACTCGTGTCAAAGCTCGTTTTATCTCTAGTGAAGCATGATAGAATTATCTCATACAAAGCTAGAACTGTCTGTAAACATCCATTGGAGAGTTCTAGGATATCTATAAAAATTACTACTTTCTTTTGGGCAATTTGTTTATTAATATGTAAACAGAAGAAAGGCTTTGTTGTATTTTTTTGGGGCAAATTGTTTATTAATCCTTTGGCAAGCTCTTAGTAAGTTGTATGAGTCAAAATCAAATCAGAGAAATTCGACATGCGGAGACAATTGTCATGAGTAACTTGCGAATCGAATTGATCAATACGGTCGAGGCCCAGCAGTGATCTATAAGACCGAGGTCGAGCAGTGATCAATAAGGCCGAGGCCGAGCAGTGATCTATAAGGCCGAGGTTGAGCAGTGATCTATAAGGCCGAGGTCGAGCAGTGCAGATAGATGTAACAACTAGTTTTGCTTTGGAATTTTCAAAGGGAATATTCTACTGATATTCCCTCTAATTGTACCTTTTTTTGGGGTTTTCTATCTCTCTCTCTAGAAAATATATAAACACATCTCTCTAAAGAGACTAGAGGATCTATGATCCCATATCTTCCATCAGATCCGAGAAGGGTCCGAGGATTCTTCTATTTGTGTATCATTCATTTTTATCAAATGAAAGAGGATCCGCCTCACCGAGATTGGTGAATCTTTCCCTATACTTACATTTTATTTCTATTTAATGTTACTTAATGCATCTTTTTTCATACTATTAAATCTGACCATAATCACTTCCATCATTTATACTCAATTATATTTCTCTATTCATGTTATTCATCTCAGATCTAGAGTCAATTATCCTTAACTAAGATTTACCCTCTATCTTCTTATTTAATTAGTTTAACAAAAAGGTCGCATACTTTTTTGTCAAACAATTTGGCACCGTCTGTGAGAATTTTCTAGTTAAAAGTTTAGTTTTCTCTAGGACTTAAAAATCAATTCTTACCCATTTTCTCTTTCTCTATATACATAGCCTGTATATATGAAGTGATGTGAGGTGAGGAAAGAGCGTTTGGAGAA